TGAAAAATAGACAAAACTTCAATTCCCGAGTATACTTAAGCCATCAAATATTTGAAGAATTGGGGAAGGCAAAGTGTTCTTCAGAACATCCCATATAATTTACTAGATTTTTATGTTTACATCTTTTTATTTCTATGATTTTCTAAAGACTACAGTTCTATCATGTGCTTTTCTAGCACAGCTACAACATTTCATATTTTTCATCTTATAAAAGTAAATATTGAAATGTCACCGTGGGAACAAAATAGCAAAGGTTAAAGTTTATTTTATCTGAAAGTAGGCATTATTCAATCCAGAAAATTCTTCAAAATGGAAACACCTGATCACAGTGTATATTGTTTATTTGAGTTTGTTCAAAATACAGAGGTCATTTAGTAGACACTGACTAACTCAATGCTTAAAAGGAACCCAGACATGCTTGCTTAATAAAAGATATATATTCTGTAATAAGGGTTTACTTTTCAGCGATATTTCCGAGAACCTCCTAGCCATCATGGTAATTATTGCTGAAGAGTTCTGAGAATTGTTACACAAAAAAATATAACATTCCCCTGATCTCTCTAGAAAATGAGGCATATAGCTCTATCAATCTACTGCATGATAGCACAGTCTAGAGAAGTGCAAAACACCTATTTTATATCAAGCCAACATACAATTTAACTTACTGTTAAATTTTACAAATATTATTATAACTGACATACCACAGGGGAAATGTGCTAGTAACATTAAAATTATGTAAATGTATTGTTGATTGATTTATTTTAACATCCACAATTTAAATCCTTTTAGAAATTTGGTCATTCAAACATAACTCATGATGCTTTATCAAGTAAATCTAACATTTTTGTTAGGAATTTCAGCAAATTTAAGACATATGTATACTTACAACCACTAAAATCAAGAATCGAAATTGAACATAACTGAACATGAGATAGTGTCCTAAATTACACAAACATATGCATAGTAATAATATCTAAAATTTACTGTGATCATAATAAATTAATAATTGATCCAAGTGCATCCATTTACCAACATTTCTGAAAGTAGTAAAAACAGTAAACAGTTTACCTCCAATTGGATCAAAAGAGTTTTTTTAAGTGGAAAGTTACTCATCTGAACTTGTCCCCACCATACTTTCATGCCTGGTCTTTTCCATACCTTTGCTTGATTTTGAAGGATTCCCCCTTCTCCCTGTACTTCTCTGTGACATCATCCACAACTGTGCAAATATGTCCTTTGGACTGTTCATCAGTTTCTACTTCAATACAGAGTAATTTATTTAACATTTTGCTGTGCAAATATAATCACAGAAGTAGTTTTCACCTAGGGATCTAATTTCTCATTTCAATCTTGATGCAATGAGCATATTTGCTATTTTTATTCCCACTGACAGAAATTTGTAGTTTGGAATTAACTGTTACAAAAAGTTGCATATAGCTTTCTGTTTTTGCATAGAAAACAACATTTTTGTGCAGAACATATTCCCGAATATAAATATCATTTCCTGCTCACAAAAAAGTGCAAATTTTGTGCAGAATATATACCGACCTGTAAACTGTCAGGGATTCTCCTCATAAAATTCCCAAAGCTCAAAAAACACATTTTTAGCCATTTTGGAATAATCGCTGCTAGGAAGCAGTGCACGGGGCAACGGATTCACCCTGCTGCCCTTCTATTTACTCAGTAAAGCTAGGCGAAGCTGGACGCTCATGTGATAAGGTTGATATAGTGTGAATTAGGAAGTCAAACAAATCTTGGTTCTATAATTCAACGGTTTACACTTTCTAAAACTGCATTGATCCCCAATACTCTGATCTCTAATACTCAGCTATGTTAACTAACTCTTAGGACATAGTCACTTGTGCCAGCAGAGGGACTACACCAAAAAGAATTCCTGCTCAAAAAGGTCCCTGGGAAATCTTTTAAGTAAGCAAGGGGCTTATAGATGTTAGTGCAGTTTTCCAGGTTAACCAAGTAGTTGTGAGGGAACACAATTTTCACTAATTCATAGTTCATGCATGTGCACCAGTTTAGGGAATCATCAGAAATCTGGCTTCGGTGTTTGAGGCTTTTTCACTCTACGCAACTATCCCATTGAATGCACTTTAACTGCCACAGGTGCATTCAATGGGATCTATGGGGTTTGTAGTCTCTGGCGGAGCATTCAAAAAGTCTACCTTGAACTACAAACCCCAGAGTTCCCTTAGAAGAACCATAACAGTTAACATAGAGTCATAATGCTACGATGAAGTGGTGTGAAAGTGTCCTCGTTATTTCTCTTATTCTGTCAGTGTGGTCATGACTTCACTCAGATTAAGATTTCCATGCATATACATTATACAAATTTGCAAATTGCTATCTGAGAGACTATGCTCTCTGAAAGCATCATATACTTGTCCCCCAGTAATAATTCTACATGTGAAGCTACTACAATACAGATAAAAGGCCAAAATGCTACAGTTGTGTAATCTGAGTCAAATGAATGGGGAAGGAAGACTATTTTAAAAAATGTCCTGGAATATCTGGTGACATTTCCAAAAGATCCAATCCAGATATCAGTAATCTCATCACCATTTCCAATCTGTCAGCAGAAGCACCACCTCTGAACTGAAGATAATAGTAATTTTATTTTTAGCTGCAAAGAAGAGCGATATTAAGGCTGTTCGGGTATTTATGCTTCACCACATAAGGGATAGTAGCTCTTGCAGACCAGCTTCTTGACAAAACTGTTAAGTGAAATAGCCTTTCTCCTATCAAAATCTAGCAAACGGATCTTCTCATGTGCACATCTAATTAGAAGTAAATGTCCCAAACATTTACTCCCAGTAACTTGCCTGAAGAAGTTTCACCTCGACTGAAAGCCTTTGAAGATGGCCAGATACGACTATCCTGGATTAAAAAGGCATTTGTAGAATTCATTCACACAGGCATTGTGGAATTCATATACACCACCAGCCATGCACTGACTAGTTCTTATAGCTACTCTTGATGTTCAATTTTGTTGTTAACTGTATTAATCTTTGAGATGTGTTGGTGTTAGATACTCTCCAATTTCCAGTTCCCCCCCCCCCCGCTCCCAAACACACACCACTACCCCCCCCCCGCCTATTCCATGTACATCTTGATTAGCATATAAATGAAGTGAAAGGAATTGCTCATGAATAAATAGAGCTTTCAAATGAATTAGCTTTATTCACAGCTTGATAATTTTTGAAAGTTTCTTGAAAATATATTTAATAGTTGATTGGTGATTGCTGTGATGCTAGTTGTTGTTGGTCTTTTTTCCATCTTGATACTATCAATGAGTTGTGATATTTAGAATAAATGTGAAGAATGTATGATTTAGGCCAAGATGGGTACAACAAAGACAAAAATAGACTGACTAAAAGCATCACTACTGGCAGATGATTTCTCAAGTAAAATCTAAGTAATATCCTTTAATTTCATTCATATAAGGGAAGACAGAATGTATATATAACCTTCTAGGGTGCTAAGCTTGAAGATATTACAACTTAATCACCTGTTGAACAGTAAAAGGAAATGACACACAGCCTTAGTGATTGGCTTCTTTCACATAACTTCACTGAAGAAGGAATGTTATAACTTTCCTCTTCTATGATATTGGTTCAATTTTTCTTCTTCTGCCAGCTATGCAAAAGGCTTCTTTTTCATTTTTTTACACTGTCATTCAATCAGGCTGTGCTATTTCAGCTCTGATATAAGTTTTTAAATAGAAAAAGTAAGAAAAACAGCTATAGCAGGTCCTACTTGTTAAAATAGTATACATCGACTTCAGAATAATACAAAAGCAAGACAACTACGACAGTACAATTCTATGCATGCCCATACTAGATTGCAGTTTTAAGTACCTTAAACTTGATTGGTTGCTATGACCAGGTCTGAACTAATGGAGTGACATAGGAGGGCTGTAGGATTGCCATTTTATCTAAATCTGGTATTCCAGGCATGGGCTCTTTCCTCTGGCCTTGTCCCCAGCCCTTTGAGTCACATGCAGCTGTGCACAGCTCTCCTGAGAGCCTTGCACAGCCATGTGTCAAATCCTCCTCTTTGCTGGAGGACATGGTGGACCAATGTGTCCTCCTGCCAAGAAGAGGGCGCAGTTGCATGTGAAACCAACCGCCCCCCACCCCTGGCCTCCCCCCTGTACAGACTGCCCACAGCCTCCCCGTCTCTGGCCTGGTCCACCTGCCCAGGGTTATCGCCCCCTTTCTAAAAAGTTGGCCCATGACTATGGTATCCTATGATTTTGATAATAGAAGCTGATTATAAGGAACATATATAATCCATTTGCTAACCTTGTGGAACAAAAGCAAGACAATGTATGTCATTTTATGAGTGTGAGAGAGATTTATACTACAATGTTACATTGGGTCTGGCCTACATCTACAGTCAGCCATCTACATTTACTGAGTTTAGGGTCACAGGACCCCTATGAAAGAGAAAAAAACAGAAATATAGGAATTGTTTTGGGTTTTTTTTACCTATGGGAAAACCTCTCTAGGTCTTTCAGCATGATTCTATACTTGATTTCTGCTGGAAGTTCACAATAGAACCAAGCTGAAGCATAACCAGAGGAACCTAATCTGTGATTAAACAAAGTTACAAATGTCAAAATGGCAAATGTGGAGGAATTGCTATATTAGTCTACAAACCTAACATCAGTGTGTACTAACAAGATACTTTTTCTGCCTCTACACCAAGTAAAGGGACTAGAAGTCAGTGAGGCCAGAATTACAATTTCATCTGCTTTGAGGATTTTTCTGTTCTAACAACTTTTCATGTTATTCCTCATCTTATAGGGGAAAAAACATTAATAACACTCCACCACCCCCAAAACCTGCTCTTCTTGCTTTTCATTTTTCAGAAGTAGAAGTTTTAGCATAACTAATCAATTTTTTAAAAATCAACTGCGAAGAAACAGTTCAGGAAAACACATGAATGCTTTATGAGATTCCACTGGGAGGAAAGTTTATTTTTACCTGATTTGTTAGACACCCATATAATTGCCTCTGATGAGAAGTGGCTCGTATTTCCTACTGCAATTGTTAATGGAATCTGCCACAAGTAGCTGCAAGACAAAGGAGGGGGATCTAAGAACAAAAGTACTGAACTGGTTCTTCTCACTTAACAGCAGTCAGGGATTACATCAAAGAAATCAAACAATTTCAATAGCAGAACAAAGATTTTGATTCTAACAAGTTACTTTGCCTTTAAAATGAATTTACTACTGGCAACAAAGCAATGAGAAAGTCATTCATCTTTCAAAAAGGACACTGATGTCTTTTTACATACTATCATTACAAGATAGCTTCTAGTAAATTAAAGTGAGTTTTTAAAAACCACCAAAGGAAGAGCATAACTGAAATTAATTTAAAGAGAAAGAAGGATCTAACACGAACATTTGTTTTGGTTTAAGTGACAACATACATTTCAAGTAAGGGCATATTAAGTAGCTTCATAAAGGCTTCTGGTAATAACATTTCATCCCCACATGCTTATAGTCATATCCCTTTAATTCAAGTGTAAAATGCTCTAGTTTATACCATTTTACACAAATGTAAAATATGGGAGAAATCAAGTTCCCATGCATTAATGTTATAAAATTCATATTAGAATAATGGGCACAAAGCTGATGTAGTAATTTGCTATAGGAGTTGTTTTATATCCATTGTAATATAGGAAATATTTCCTGCAGGATCACTGAAGCCTCCATCATCAGGAGTTAAAACAAACAAACCCTGTGATAACAGTTGCTTCCTTTGAAAGATGCATAAATCAAAGCATCTCACATATTTTGATGTAACCAGTTACCCCACAAACATATATTCTGGTCTACTGCTTGTTTGGAAAATATTTCCCCAAATGAGACTTTGGAGGTGTTCTCATATGTGATACAACATACCCTTTGTAAATAATATCAACTAACAAAGGGAGCCCCCAGTGGCGCAGTGGGTTAAAGCACTGAGCTGCTGAGCTTGTTGATCGAAAGGTCGCAGGTTCGATTCCGGGGAGCGGCGTGAGCTTCCACTGTCAGCCCTAGCTTCTGCCAACCTAGCAGTTCAAAAACATGCAAATATGAGATCAATAGGTACCACTCCGGCGGGAAGGTAACGGCGCTCCATGCCGTCATGCCGGCCATGGAGGTGTCTATGGACAACGCTGGCTCTTCGGCTTAGAAATGGAGATGAGCACCACATCCCAGAGTCAGACATGACTGGACTTAATGTCAGGGGACTACCTTTACCTTTTAACAAAGGTTTAGCTCTATATACATACATGAGTGCTCAGAGAAGTTACCAATATAGATTTACACAGACGCAGGGAGAAAAGAAGTTTCAATAAGCCAGGGGAATGATTCTCAAAGGCCCATTTCTGATATATTTAAGAAGGAATTGCCAAACAAACAGAACACACATACAAACCCTGAATTTTAATAACATTTGTTATGGTCATATTGATGCTTCATAATAGCTGCAACATATGAAACAATAATCAATTTCTGTCTCTCTTGTATACAGCTAGTAGAAAGTACTATCTCGATCTTACAGAGCTGATCAGATGTACTGACTTGCTCCACTAGCTAGAAATTCAAGTGCTTCTTAGAGCCGTAGCAAACTAGGATTTTGCGAGAGCAAACTAAGCCAGCACGAGCGATGCTCCGCCTCTTTCTCCGCCTATTTCCCTTTGCTAGGGCAGCGTTGCGAGCATACGCTCGTGCTGCAGCAAACTACAGGAAGCTTGCGCTCGGGCTTGCTCCGAAGCCCCGCCTTTTTCCCCCCCGAGGCTGCTCTCTCTCTTGCTAGCGTGCCTGTTTTCCATTGCAGAGGGCAGGGATGCGAGCGTACGCTCACAGTTGAATTCTGCCAACTGCGAGAGTACACTCGCATCGCTTCCCTAGCAAGGGAAAACAGGCACACTAGCAAGAGAGAGAGCAGCCTCGGGGAAAAAAAGGCGGGGCTTCGGAGCGAGCTCGAGCACAAGCTCGCTCTCGCTTCCCGTAGTTTGCTACGGCTCTTAGGAAGTTAACTTGAAACAGGTACTGTAAAGTGGTTTCTTCCCACTTTTTTAATTGTGTCCCTGCTTCTATCCCACTCCTGAACTATTCCTTTCACTGTCTCCATATATTAGTTCCAAATGAGGCAGACCCACTGATCCAAAGGAAACTTGTTAGTCATCACTTATATAAGTGTAGGAGTCCCCAGTGGTGCAATGGGTTAATCCATTGTGCCAGGTAGACTGCTGACCAAAATGTTGGTGGTTTGAATCCAGGGAGTGGGGTGAGCTCCTGTCTGTCAGCTTCAGCTACTCTTACGGGGACATGAGAGAAGCCTCCCACAGGATGGTAAAACATCTGGGTGTCCCCTGGGCAATGTCCTTGCAGACTGCCAATTCTCTCACACCAGAAATGACTTGCAGTTTCTTAAGTCGCTCCTGACATGAAAAAAAAACTTATATAAGTTCAACTGATTCAACAAGTCTTCACTAGATGGAATTGACATTTGGATTTGGGCATTATAGAGAAATGAAAGTATGAAGTTCCTTGTTGAAGAACACAAAAAAGGATATGGGATTGAAGGTATTGGAAAAGAGCAGACCAGCATGTCTGTAGGACAGAAAGCTGGGAAAGGCTCTTAGACAACACAGTGTTTTATGCAGAATCTAAACAGAGCAAACATTTTTCAGGCAAATATAAGATTTACAACTGGATGTCTACCTAGTTATATTGATGGATATATGACACTTACTGAGAACCAGTGAGATGATGGCCATACTTAATATGTTCTTTTTTAACCAGTCATATTTCCAAACCATAAATAAATGTGTAAAAAACACAATCTGGCTGAGCATATTGAGAGCAGTATACATTGTAGGAGATAACTAAAAGGGTTAGGGTCCCTCCTTTATAAATGGAATCCTAGCTATAATTGTGCATCCAGGTTGATTAAAAAGACCAGAATGACTCCAAGTTGGTTCCTGCTGTTTCTGATTTTATTTTGGAGATCCATGTACATTTTGTCTATCCCACATAGACTTTTTATACCAGCTCTCCAGGGTGGCTTGCTTTAACCAACTAACCATAATATTGGAAATAAGTGGAACAAATTTCAGGACTTCTCAATCAGACTGGCTGTATCCTAAATTATGTTTATGAAGAACCCTTCATTTCCCCAGAAAACATGGCTTAAGAAACCAACATTTGCTAGAAACTAGTTTTGCCTTGAGTAATGGAAGTCTTATTTGTTGTAATGAACTTGATTATTAGTATAGCCCAGAGGAAACTGATTAACCCTGATATAGTGAAATGTTCTCAACAGGAGAAATAACCATTTCAGAATTTGATTCTTTGCCACTAAAAAAAGAAATATATGGCCATATTATTCATTTACGCCCTGCTCTCCCTGTCAAATCTAAAGGATAATGACAAGCCAAGTGGGATTCACAAAACACACACATACACACAATGCCATTAAATTTATTGGGAGTTCACTGACTCTGGATTATTAGGGAAGGTTGACAGAGCTAACTAGTCAGTATATTAAAATACAAAGCTGTAAAAATGGAAAGACACAATCGCATATCTGTATGGCTGGCTTTTTACTGCAGTGGCAATTCAGAACATGGTTATGTGTTTAAACTTCATTGATTATACTGGATTGCAGCCCATCTTTTATTGCTACATTAAGATAAAGTGCAGTGTAACAGGTTTTAAATTGCATCTAGTTAGATAATAGAATACACACTACTGTTATACATTTATGCTAAAGTAAATTTTACCTTTTGAAAAAGATGTTTAAAATGACATGAATGGATGAAATATGTCTGTAATAATGTTCATATTCAGCATGCTGTCTTACTCCATGACTATAAGCACTGGCTGATAAATATGCTTGCTGTTCTGAAGTTTCTGACATACAGCTACTGTACACCTATCTATGGGAGTCCTTTCGTTCTCACTGGATTTTACTTTATACAATATATTTTATTACTACACAATATAGGATGCTATTCTATAGTCATAATCTGTCAGCTGCTGAGCTACAGCATTCAGTGGAAGGCTTACTCTGCTGGCAGAATTCAGATATTCTGTGGCACGACCATCAGGCCAATAGAATGGTGTAGCCATGTCCTGTAAAATCTGTAAGCCACAGAACTGGCACATGAAACTTTCAGAGCATATGTTGAGTGCCACATCCTGTTAAAGCACACTATCATATGTATACATATAAATCCTACATGTTCTGGTTCCCCATTATGTGCACTGGAAGCTCACAAGAGAATTCATTGTGGATAGGAAATTATGTAAGAAATCAACTCAGTACACAAAACAATGCCCTGGCTTCACAACTCAGCACTGTACCAACTCTTCTCTACCTATAATCCTTACGCCTACATGTCTCAGGACCCAAAGCAAAAGCATTCATTAATTTATCAATCAGAATATTTTCTATTGACTCTCAGCTTGTTTGGGCATTTACGGTGATGCACAACTGAGATAAATAGTATTTAAAAATAAACCTAGGCAAAATCTTGATACTACATCTCAATTATTTTCACCACTGGCCAAGCAATTATGAGTGCAGATGCAAGAAAAAGAAGAACCAGTGAATACATCTTTTAAAGTTACAATTCCTAAGGGAAAATAGAGAAGCATCATTCTAGACCCCTTGGAGAAGAGAAAGCCAAAAGTAGTGTCAGACAGCAACAGAGCTTTTCTCTTTTCAAAAAAGTATAGGCGACCTGCCTATGTTTCTCCTTGCTTTCCACAGACCACCCTTCCTTGAATAAAGAATGAATTGCACCCTCTGTTTCGTGCAAACCATGACTAATTAAAATAATTTACCCACCCAAGGTAAAACAGTTGGAATTATAGTGCTACCCATGTACCAACAGGACTATTACCTATAGTTTCACCTGCCCACATCTGAAAAAATATTTCCTCCCGAGGAATTTTCCATGTCCAGGAATGGAACTTTTTGGTGACTTCTGGCAGAAATGTATTTCAAGAGGGTTTGCTATTATCCATGGTTGAGCATTTCAGCATAATTTCAGGCAGGTATGTCCCATGGA